GATGTTGCCAAAATGGAAAAACTTCATGCCGAGTTTCTGGAGAAAGGCTACACCAATAATGCTGTCACGCACAATATCTTGGCGGACGGTTACGGTCGCGCGCGACGATTTGAGCGGATGGAGGAAATTGTGCAGCAGCGGAAGTCATCGGGGATCCCCATGGATGACCTCATATACTGCATCATGGCCACATCCTACGGCCGGGCGAGGCTAAAAAAGGAAGTGCACCGTCTCTACACAGAGGTCACTTCCCCCACGTCCCGTCATCTCTTCACTAGAAAAGTCATTTGGTCTTTCATTGACGCCTTTTGCCGCTGCGCAGCCCCGGACGACATGGAAAAGTGCGTCGAGGAGTTAAAGAAGACGGATGAGAATAATACTCTTAGCGCGAGTGATGTTCTTACCCTTATTCCGTACTACTGCCGTCTTGGAGACATGAGCCGCGTGGATGAGTTACGTGAGAAGGCCAATTCGATGAACGCGGACCTGTCTTACACATCACTGAACGCCATTGCACGGGGATACGCCAGGGCGGGACGGTTTGACAAGACGGTAGAGACCCTCCACCTTCTGCGCGATCGTAATTGGGTTCCAGACGCCGCCACGGCACTGTCACTCTCCAGCTCATTCCTCAAAGCGGGTCTGCACGAACAGGCGCAGCAAGTCGTGCAGTGGAGGCGGCAGTACGCGAAGCACGCGGGGGAGGAGGTGTCACCGACTTCAGATATTTAGGACGTACATTTGGCATACATGAGCTCTAAGCAATAGCGTGAGAAACAAGGAGAGGGGAGGGGCGGTAGTGATGAGGATGAGGATGATGGTTTTGGTGGTGGTGGTGGTAACGGGGATTTTGAGGAAACGTGGTAAGAGGAGGAATACGACAGTACTCTCAGTGAAATCCCTGTCCCTTTCTTTCTCCCATCTTTTCTGTGTGTGTTCTTTTGTAGCAAAAAAAAGTGGCGGAAAGAAGAAGAAAACCCAATAAAAAAAAAAAAGAATAAGCGAAAACAATCAACAACAACAACAAGAAGAATTACTCGCATTACTGAGCGATGGCACGAGACAAGCATGCAATGCATGGGTGGGGGGTGTTCGCACGTCAAAGAAAATGTTGCCAGGTATTTTTATTCTACATTTATTTATAGATAAATACATGTATTCACGTGTCATTTTTGAGTGTTTTTGGCTTGCCTTCTTCTTCTTCACCGTTTGTATCGACTGGATGTTGTTGTTGTTGTAGTATTTTTGTGGGCCAATGGAGGGGCGTCTTTGCTGCGGATGGGAGGGATGCACGTTGTGGTTTTGCTGCGGATGTGTGTCTCTGTGTGTTTCTTCCTTGCCATTGCTCCCCCTTCTTCCTGTGTGTCCATCTCTTCCTTTTCCCCATTGGTCCTTTTTGGTTTTGGTAGGCGGCGTGGGGGCTCTTCCTGTGGCAAACCGCATTTTCCAGTCGCGATAGTGTAACGCCGGCGCGGTTCCTTTTGACGCCGCCCCCCGCGGACGGACCAACCATGACGGAGGAAGCGCTGGCGCAGCAGGTGATGCAGGAGTTCATGGCAACGCGTCACGCCGGGTCCTCGGTGGAGCTGCTCCGCTCCGTGTTCTCCGCGCGCCTGCAGCAGACGATTGCGCAGCGCTACCCACTCGCGTACAATCGTCTTTTATTGGCGTGGCATTGGCGCGGCAAGTGGCATTGCCTTGCGGATGAAATTGTGGGACTGCGCTGCTTCCTCGACACCCTGAGGGACTACGCTGAGACTAGAGATCTGGAGGTTCACATCGCGTTCAGCGAGTTGCGGTGCTGTCTGCAGGGAGAATCACTGCGCGGTGCGGCTGACGGACGGCAGCGTTGGCGCGCTACTGCGGGAGCATCTTCTCCGGGAGGGTGCCTTGGATTGCTGGTGTGACAAGACGGTGAGGGCGGCGCAGGCGGACGGTGGCGCGGGGGGTGCTGATAGAGCCTTGTGGCGGGAGACACGCTTGCGCGGCACATGAGTGCACTGCGGCTCCGCCGTCACTTTGTCCATTGCCTTCAATCGTGGGTGCCGGCGAATTCCGGCAGGCGATCCGCGAAGGATTTCTTCATGGCGGCTATGGGGTGAGAAGCGAGGGAGGGAGAGAGGGGAGCCACGCGCTGGGGAAAGAGGGGTCGGGCTTCTGCGGCCGCAACTCGTTGTCGTCACTTCAGTTTGTTGTCATGACAATGGTGTCATCTTTTGTTTTTTCTTCACAGAAGTTTTGGATTTTGCGTTCTTTTTGATTGTTGGAAGGAGAGGGTGCGTGCGTGCTGTGCATTTGCGAGAGTCTTGTGGGAGGACGGTGATTCGCGGCGGTGTGGCGGATGTGGTGGCGTGTGCGGGGGTGGCTCCGCGGCGAAGGGCAGAGAGCGAGGTGCCCCAGTTTGTTCTGGGAACTGCGGTGCATCGACTCACCGTTGGGCTCGTGGGACCTTTGCGCGTCACTCACATGCGTGCGCTGGCACGACAGTGCCGGTGAGGGAAGCTTGAGGGGCTGCGTGCTCTCTCCGCGATGGACGTGGGCTGCGGGGCGTCTGGCGGATGCGGCTAAGCGAGGCATCCGATGTCATTTGCCTGGCAGACAACGAAATGTGGCTCCGCTCTTGGACAAATGTGGGATTTTTATTTGTCCTTCGTGTTGCTTCCTCCTTTTCCGTGAGACACGCCGCATACCGAACGCCCACCCACCATCACTTCTGCTTGCATATCTCCTGTGGGGTCGGCAACTCATTGTGGGTGCGTGCCCTCCATGAGGAATGCGCACCCATTCCCGGTTCCCAGAACTGCAGTTACATCCACCGGAGCCTAGGGGCTACACTGTTCTCCTCCTTCCCCTTTTGAGTGTGTGTGGGGTGCTGGGTTCTGCTTCACGGCCGTCTGTGTGTGTGTGTGTGTGTGTCCCTGTAGTGCGGCACATGTATTCCTCTCCCCCTCTTCTTTTTGTCGTTGTCCTTGCCCCACTGTGTAGATTGTCTCACAAAGTCGAGCGACTCTACGACGAATGATGATGGTGACTTTGCGGCGCCGCGTGGTGTGCGACCTGCTGATCCTCGCGCTCTTGTGCTGCTGCTGCTGCTTGTCCGTCTGCGGGACTGCTGTGCCGGCAAAAACCTTTTTGTTTGTGGCTTTTTCGTGTCCCGGGACTGACGGTAAGTTGAGTTGGCGTCTTCGAGGCGAGGAGGAATGGAAAAAGTGCCCTAAGAAGCCTGGAGAAGTCGATCAAGACAATGATGAGCGTGCACGGGTGTGCGTTGCCGGTGGGGACTTCTACAAATATTCGAAAAGGACAGCAGAAGAATTCTGCCGTCCTCCCAGTGACTGGGTAGAATTTTTGTTCGAGATAGAATTTGCGACGTACGGGAATTTAAGTAGCAGCAGCTCGGCGACGGCACAAAACAATGATCGGGAGGCCACTGATGGCGCGCAACAGCTTCAGTCGCAACCGCAGGCTGGAAAAGCGGCCCCGGCAGCTATGGCGGCTGCACCGACAACGCCGGTTGTTGGCCAGGCACAGAGCGGCGTCGTCAGTCCGCCGAGGGAGGCAACTGAGGCACCGCAGAAGAAGTTGCCTGAACAAACAGCCGAGGACGGCCCTGCCCCAATGCTGAGCGAAAACATCACCGTCGAGGAGGAGTCGCCTGAGCACACAGACGAAGGCGGCTCTGCTCAAAGACCAAGCGAAAACATCGCCGCCAGCCCGCTGACGTCTACAGACGCGAATGAACACGTGGCATCGGCACCCGAAGCTTCCGGACGGCCGTCCTCTTCTCCATCCGGCGACGGCGCAGCCAATGAAGCTTCCCACAACAGTAATGAGGGTGACAGCGAATCCGACGCCAATGGCGAAGGCACCAGCACCGTTACCGGCACGAATCCGCTCCAACCGACCAGAGACGAAAGTGCAAACGAAAGTACAGAAAATATCGCCGCTTTGTTGCAGAATTTTGTCGGTCCGGACGGCAGCGATGTCACCACTGTGTGGGTGCGCACGCCCCTGCTGCTGCTCTTCATCGCCCTTGTCTGTGCTGCTGTGCGGTGATTGGGACTAGTCGTGCATGTCCTTGCGGGGACGGCTAGTACAGTATGTGTGTTTTCCTTTTTTTTTTTTTAATTTGCTTCGTCACCCACACGCGGTGCCGGCCCTGCGGCTGTGCTTCCCACGGACTGCACGAACGAGGATTGGAAGAAAAGGCCGGATGCCGCATGAAATGCGAATAATGTTGTGTGGGCTAGTGGAAGAATGCGATATTATTATTATTATTCCATTCTTCGTCTGTGCAGGTAATATATATGCACGCACCCGATCGTCTTGAGCCGCATGGCACATGAAATTCCTGCCGAATCAATTTTTTTTCTTTTTTCTTTTTTCTTTTTTCTTTATTGTTTTCCGGGAGTCTTGCGGGATTCTCATTCTTTCTTTTTTGTTTCCTTTTCTGTTTTTGGTAATTTCCTGCGGCTGTTTTCCGTTTGTGCCGTGTTCACTGTTAGTTTGCTTCTCCGTGTCCCGTTGAGTGTCCCTCTGCTGGTTGTGCTGCTGGCATTTCCCCATTTCTTCTCTTTCCTTTCTGCTAGAGGCACCGATGGTCCGCGACGACGATTGCTTGTGCACCCCTCTGCGATGGCACGAGGGTGACTGTGCGCCGGCCTGCTGAGCGCACTCGGAGTGGAGCGGATGGTGTGCGCCGTGCCTTACTCTTGAGTGTGGGACGCCACCCACCACGACCTGCTGTGAGGCGCAGTGCTATTCCGTCGAGGAAGAGAAGGACGGTGCCGTGGACTTGGATGCGCCCCGCCCCTTTTGTTGCGGCCGTGTGTGTGTGTGTGTGTCCTTTGGTTGCCCAAAACTCATTGGCGCCGCAAATGCGGCAACAGAAGAGTTTGATTGCGTGGAGGCGCCACTGTCACTTGAATCAAACCATGCATGTGGCACACACGCAAACAGGAAAGCGAAAGGATGGAATATTCGGCTGGGCTGCTTGACGGATCCTCAATTATCCCAACGGAATAAAATACGACGGGAAGGAAGTGTGAGTAAGTGGAGAGGCAGTGGGCCCGCCAAATCTTCGTCATTTGCTCCGCATATATTTATATTTATGTATTCTGTTGGTCCCACGTTCGTGACATGTCGAACGCTCTATTCGGATTGGATACATATACATACATATGTTTATAGCTTACGAAGTGGCAGACTTTGGCCTCTCCAGCCACAAGACCCCGCCGCAAGGGTGGGAATCCAAAAGGAGGTTACTGGGATGGTAAAAATAAAAAATAAAAACATTATTCTTGACGTTCTCAGTTCCTTTGCTTGCTTTCATCGCGGTCTTCCAAAAGAATTTATGCGGTAGCAAGAAGTAGTACAGAAATATATCTTTTTCTTTATTGGGATCTTGTGAAAAGGATGTTCGCGGGGGAAGCTGGTCACCTAAATGAATATGTCCTGATAAAGTGGAGATGTTTCTCCACGATTCTTTTCCATCTTATGAATTTTTGGAAGGCGGTGATTGAAGGAACCAGGGAGCCGATAGCGACAAGACGGATTTTTCTTTACTTTTTATTTCTTATTTTCCCACCACCCCCTCTTTTTGAGTCCCACCTCGCGGCGGGGCCTTGTGGCTGGCGGAGCCCAGGGTCTGCCACTTGGTAAGCGATAAATACGTACATATAAATAAATAAATAAATAAATATATTGTACTCCATCCGAACAGAGTGAGCGGGCTACGATTGTCGCTGACGGATGATACGTATATATATATAAATATAAATGATGTATGTGTGTGCACTTACTTGGTGTAAACACTCATTGAGGATATTATGAATCCCATACTTTTATTCCATTTATCCCTTTTTTATTATTGTTATTCCCATCTTGTTTTGGTTTCTATTATCGATAAACTGCAGGATTTGGCCAGCGGATCAGGTGAATATTATTTTCATTTTTTGGAGGCGCTTGATGAAAACAATCGTGGAGGGCATTTTCATTCCATACGAGGACGGCACACGGGTGACAAGGAAAAAAAAGAGCGACACCTCGCCCAAAAAAGCAGCTGCTGGAACGTTGGCAGGACTCGGGATTGTTTGCACGGCCAGCTGTATGCCCTCGGCAGGATGTTCTTTGAGGAGCCCATTGCCCCGAGTGTGAGGTGCACGCACGGGCAGGCACCGCGGCAACAGCGTCATTGGTTCACCGTTGCAAAAATGAGACGGCGCATGTCAGGCGTGGCAGGTGATGGCTTTTGTGAGTTTTTCTCCCACCCCTCTGTTTTAATTCTTGGCGTTTTCCTCATGTGGACAGCGCTCCCATTGGCCGCCCTCTGTGACACGAGAGCCGCCTGTATTCCTCTCCATCGCATTAAAGAGTCGTGAGGAGGGTTTGAGGGTACGTTGAGGAGCCGTGTGGTCTCTGCGAGCCTATCCTCTCTTTTTTCATAGGTGTTGAATGCTGGATTACCGAAACTCATCTTGAGTGCCTGCGTTAGAGGCACACATAACTAAGAGGTAAACGTGTTTGTGGAGGTGAAGGAGGGCCACGCCATTGGGAGGAGGAAGAGTGAATGGGTGGGTGGGTGGGTGTCTGTGGCCCACATGTGGCGCCCGACTGGTGCTTCGCGTTGTTTGGTGTTATTATCATTCCCATTCACAGAGGATGGCTTTGGGTGCTGCACCCACGAGCTCTTCTGTCGTTGACTGAGGTTGCTTGGGTGCTGCTTTCCCCAACCCTCTCTGTGTCGGTGTGTTGTATGATAGTGAGCATGGCTCTTCTTCCGTGCTCTGCATTTGGCGCATAAGCTGCTGATGGTTTGTGTGGAATATGTAATGATTTGCGGCACTTTTTGGGTTGTGCTTTGATCTCCACCGCGGGATGGCAGCCGGATTGGGGGCGTTACTTTTTCTTTACTCTGATCACGTGCGATGTGTATTGGAGGCCTCTCGGGGAAGCGCCAGCCAACCTTGTCGTGGAAAATATTTATGATGCCACACCATTTATTGGCGTGGAATGAGTTGGGAGTTTGCGTATAAGCTCCTCTGCATTCTTGGCGTGGTGCTCCTTATGCACAGGCCATGGCGACGACTGGCTGAGAATTGTCAATGGGCTTCTCGTTGAGTCGAGGGGCGCATAACGTTTTTCTCGCTCATTGAGAGCCCGGGGGTCACGGATGATGCATGGGGCAGGCAAAACCTCGTGCATGGCGGAATGAAGTGACGAGGGGCTGGTTGTTTGATTGTTAGCGACGAGTCATGCCTCACTGCTTGGAGGGGGCTGGCGTTTGCTGGGGCAATTAGTTTTGTGTGTCCAGCCACTGCTTGCGCCGAGTGGCGGGGTGCCGTGTTGGTGTGTGCGGCTCCATCATGCGGGGCGGCTGCGTGATGTTTACGGACTATGTGCCTGTGGGTTGATGAATGTGGTTGGAGGCTTGTCTGAGGAGAGTCTGCGAAAGGAGGAGCGGCATGCGTTTGGCGGTGCTGCTGTGCGTAGTGCGAGGGAGGAGGAAAAACAGGTGATTTCTGACATGTTGGTGAGTGTGCCGCGGCCACCGATGAGTTCTCAGGGAGAGGGACAGGAGGGAAGGAGACGGAGACTGTGCGCACCCGCTGCGGCGTGTGGTGCGACAGGATGCGGTTGCCGTAGTGAAGGATGCAGCGGCCGCCATGCGTGCAGTAGAGCGTCACCTGCATCTTTGTGTCTGCCGAGCTTGCAGGTGCCGCGAGGAGGTGCAGGCGACCCCTCATCATTGGGTTGCTGAGGCCGTTTTCCTCTCTGCTCAGCGGGAGAAGCAACTCTTCCTGCAAGTGATGTTCCGGTCTGCATCGATACTCCCAACGGGTTGTCACGCAGCCGTGTCGTTGCAGTGCCACTCTTGTTTCCCTCACTGCACACGTGGCCCTTTCTCATTTGTCTTGTTTGCAGGGCCATGGCCTTCGGTTCCCCATTGGGAGGCTGCTCACTTTTTGAAATTATTTTTTTATGCTTTTGAGAGGTGCTGTAGAATAATGGCTGCGGGGATGGTCATTTTGTGTTTCGCTGTGAGTGGTGGCGGTGTGTACTGCTGTTGTACTGTCTTTTTGCCGCTGTCGTTGTCTTTTTCTCTCTCTACTTTTTCACGCACACGAAGGAGGAAGTTTACGACCAAGCGCGAATCGCTACTGTGAGATTCGAAGGCACTGAAAGGACCAACAGCACACACACCGCCCACACAAACAAATATTTATATGCTCTCACGTGTTGCTGCAGTCAAGGCACCCCGCACACACAACCGTCGCCGCGTGACCGGATCCAGCGGAAGGAGGAGGGAAGGAAGGGAGAGTGAGCCGCAGAGGCCCAACATGTCCCGGCGTGTGTTTACTTCCGCGGTGCTGCTCCTCCTCGTCGTGATGTGCTGTGGCAGTGGAGCTGCGGCCGCTGAGGGCACAGGAGAGTAATCCAGAGGCTCACCCAAAGCTTGAATGGAAGGGCACCACCGATGAGGGTGATGTAACTGTTGTATCGCTTCGTGTTCCCAGTCTTGTTGAGATGAATGGTGATGTATTTGCCGTCGCCGAGGCGCGGTGCAAGAAGGAGGATGAAGGAAACAAGGTCTTTGCTGGCGTTGCATCCCAACCTTTTCATGATAAAAGAGG